CTATGCATGCTCTCGCAAATATGTACCTACTTCCCTAAGGGTCACTAGATTACTATTGACTTGAAAAGTGTTAAGGAGGAAAACAATAAATATGTACAGCACATATTTCCTGTAATACAAATCTTTGAACTTTTAAGTTTAAAAAATTAAAGGACAAAATATTCTCCATAGATTATGAAGCTTAATGAAAATAAGTTAAAATTCTTTGCTGATAGAAGTTAAAGTTTACTTGGAAAGATAATCAAGTTTGAATAGTTACATCATTTAAAGGTAAGATTTTCTCATAATAAAAGAAAATGGTTAGAAATTTTAAATGATCATTCACTCGTTCACTTATTAATATTTCAATACATTTTACTAAATGACAGGCATTTTTAGGGAATCAAAATTAAAATCCCTGATGTCACAGAACTTACACACAAGCAAATGAAACAACACTAGTGACAGATATATAAAATATTTATTAAATAATAACTACTATGTTTAAAAAGAAAGAGCTGAGCATGGTAGTATGTGCCTATATTCCCAGCACTCCGGAGGCTGAGGCAGGAGGTTTACTCCAAGTTTGAGGATAACCTGAGCTACATATTGAGTAGCTACAACTACATAGCCAGAATATATCTCAAAAAATCAATAAATAATTAAATAAATAGCAAATAGCAAATAATAAAAAAACAAAAAAATTAAAATATAAAGAAGTATAGAATGGTGTGGGCAAGAATGTTTTTAGCTAATCTGGTCAGGATTAGCTAAATAACTTCTGTCTCATATCAACATCACTCACCTGTTTACAAAGGATGCGAAAGACATACATTTTCAATGGGATGGACTATAACATAAATGAAGCTTTTATTGTTAAAGCATTTTAAAGACAGAAAATTTATCATATGCACTGTTGTATGCTTAACTTGCCCAGGAAGACAGCCATGAACTGGCTGAATTTCTGCATGTTCTTTAGGTTTTTGGCTTTTTAGGTTTTTTGATTAAATAATTATTTGATTAAATAATATTGATAAAATAATATTCAAGTGATATGACCCAATAAGATATCTTTAAACAAATAAGTTTTAAGTGTAGGGGTCAACTTTTACAGAAAGCCTTTGTAGACACAATTTATGCTTGGCTGAGTTGGGAGCTCTTTTGATTTGGATAAGCATCTCTCAAAGTCCTGTGTGTTAAATGTCTATTCCTAAGCCTGGCATTACTGGGGGGCAGAGGGGTCAAACCCTTAGAGGGGGGAGTCTAATGAGAGGACCTGAGGTCACTGGGTGTATGCTCTTAAAGACTATCGCAGGAATTGCTTGCCCTCTTTCATGTTTTGGCCAAGATGAGAATAGTCTGCTCCAACCCAAGCTCCTTTCCATAGCCTTCTGGCACATCTATCACAGGTTTAAAGCACTAGGTCCACCTGATTTTAGACTGAAATCTTTAGATTGAAATCTTCAGTCTTTTCTCTTTGCAAGTCTGTTATCTCATGTATTATATTACAGTGAAGGAAAGTAATGGAAGTATTTTCCCATACGTTTCCCCACCAATCACAACTAAGCCCTGTATCATAATCCTTGCTTTACATGGAAATTGCCTGATTATATATTTTCTTAATTCCCTGAAAATAAGGAATGTGTCCATGTGCCTGTTATCCTTTGTTCCTAACAAGGTTGTTCTATAAAATAAACATTTGTTGAATAAATGATGGATTTGAACTGGAGCTAAAATTCCTTGTACGAAAGCCTTCGTAAAAAGTTGTTTAAAATGTTCAGAACTACAGAAGAAATGGCAGTTTTAGAAAAGCTCTGCTCAGAATCACTCTACAAATTTTTCAGATCTTTCATGTCACCAAGGTAATGTAGCTCAAAATTTGTTAGCCTGCTAATTAAATAAGACATACTAACTAGCTTAATCAAGTTTTATCCAGCCAGAAACTTCCACTAGAAATGAAACAGGGGAGATTAAATCAGTAATGTACAAGGACAGTGCTTTTTGTTTGTTCTCAATGTTATTATCCATTAAATCTTTCTCTGTCTTCTCTCCTTAATAAAATAAAGGCCATATGGAACCAGGAGCAGGTAATCAAAGTAGAACACAATGCTCTCTCTCTTTCCTCATGGTTCTTCCTTTACTACTTTAGGGAAGAGAAGCCTGGGGAATCATAAATTGTCAGCAGATGAGAGAAACGGTCCATTTAAGTACTTTGATGTCAGGCTAAACTGAACACCAGTGAACTAGTACAAACGTCCAAAGAGTCTGAGAGTCTAGACTCAATGTTTGAAAATAAGATGCCTTAGCAAAAAATGTCTAAGTAAATTGTGTGTGTAATTATCATATAATCCTATAACTTATGTAATCATTTCATTAAAGAGAAAGCAACAGAAAACAAGAGTTGCACAACTCATTTTAGATGTATCTAAAGCTTTTTATTTGACTCTGATGCCTACGTATGTATCAAATTCAATATGTTGATAATGTTTTTACAGCATATAAGTCAATTTCTTAATCTGTATATCAATTAAAATTCACAAATGTCTTAGGCAATCATATTCATAAAATGAAATTGTGGCAATATGCCCAAACCACAGGAACATGTGTTTGAGCATAGACAAATGACTTCTGAAAGCTGAAAATGTAAAACTGCAAACAGAATATGATAGCTTGTTCAGGAAACTGCTGTTATCTCTTATAATTCAGTCTCATCTGATTAAGACGTCTATTTCATAATGAAAGACCTTCCTTACTCAGTCCTAGTGTGAGCTCCAGCTCTTTATTCCACAAATATCACTCCCACTCACAAAACAGTAACGAGTACAAACAATAGATGTTTAGCATTTGAACTCTGGTTGGTTTGGTTTGGTTTCAGTACTGGGAATTAAAGTCAAGGACTTCAACCTTTTGCTTTATTTCTCTTTTTTTCTTTTTCTTTTTCCCTCCCCTCCCCTCCCTTTCCCTTCCCTTCCCTTCTCTTCCCTTTCCTTCCCTTTCTTTCTTTTTTGGACAAAAGTTTTGCTAAGTCACCAAATAGTCCAGGCTGGGCTCAAACTTGAGGTCTGATCATCATCCTGCCTCAGCCTCCCCGAGTGTTGGTATAACAAGTATGCAACCATACCCAACTTCAAATTCGATTCTTATTAGATTAGAATATTCCTTGTTTATTTCCTAGAGGAAAGTGGGGCTCAAATTACTACTATGAAATCAGAAGTAGACAAGATATTTCTTCCCCAAACCTCGTACTCTAGGCATATGACCTAAGTTGGCCCATCTAGATGCTTCTACTCTGTGTTTCAGTCTGAAAGAACTGATTCAAGATAGCAAGTCCAGCTAGCAGACAATTTGTGAGGTCACCTGCTCTAGTCACTGTGACACCTCTTCTCTTACCTATATCATTTTTCTGAACTTGCTTTAGTTGTCTTTGTTTAAATCAGCTGATACTGAAATGTGTTATTACAATCATTCTAACATCCAACTTAAGTAAACCAGCTTGACTTTTCTCTCTCGTTTACAACAACTCAGGATTGTAGGTAACTGATCTGGTTGAGTTGCCTTTCTTTAATTTCCGGCAAGGCAAAAAAAGAATATACTGATTCAAAATAAGATAGTTTTAGAGCCTGGGGTAGTTGATCAAACTCTCTAAAAATAGAGTAGAACTATGAACTGGCTTCAATGCATAAAAGTAGAGAATGAAATTCAAGAAGTCTTCACTTTTAAAACAAAAGTTTCCAAATCTATGGAGATAAGCTTTCTAGTTAGTGGAAATTTTATCACCAATGGGGATGTTAGCAATGTTTGGAGACCTAATTAATATTCATAAGTAAGGGAGAATGCTATGGGATCTAGTGAATAGAAGTTAAGGATGCTGAGAAACATCCTACAGTGTACATGTGGCCAACCACAAGAAAGAAGCTTCCCATCCAAAAGCGCAATAGGCCATGATTGAGACATGCCTCTGGACATCATTCTCCTTCTATAAGTCATACATGGCACATGAATAAATGACCTACAAATCATGTATGATTAAATGTTCCATGGAGGGGCTGGAGATTTAGCTCAGCGGCATAAGCACCTGCCTTGGAAACAGGCAGTCATGAGTTCGATCCCTGGTACCGATAAAAATGAGGGAAAAAAAAAGACAAAAAATGTTCCATGGAGTTAGAGCAACTTTCCAGTAGTCCGAGACAGTTAACTACTTTCCTAAAACTTCTGAAACCTTACTTCTGTTGTAAGGTTAAAAGAGAAAAGTCTTGTAATACTTCCATTAATATGCAGATGCATGCAAGAACTATACAGATAAGCAAGGGCTAAAAAGAGAAAATAAGATTTGCAAAGTGCTGCAAAGCACTCTCTGTGTCTGAGACAATGACAGTACATTCAGGCTACTGATGAGGTGCTCGAAAGGCCAAGGATGTTAGGAAATGAAGCTTGGGAAGGACACTGTGATCAGATCCCAAAGTGTCTTTCACATACCACGATTATGAATTTTCTTCTCTGATTAGTAGTAATTTTTAGAAAAAACAATAAGATAAAAAAATGAAGCTAATTCTTCAGAAGAATGTTCTGGCATCACTTTGAGTAATGATCTACTACAAGCAGTCAGGTGACAGTCATACAAGAATGAGCAGCCACCTTTAACAATGGTAATGGCAACAAGAATATAGATCAAAAGCCAGAAAGGATTTAAACATATTCTTGAGATTTACCAAGCTTGCTCTGTAAAACAGACATCACTCAATACTAGGAAATACAAATTAAAGAGTTAGAAACAGTCTAAATAAATTCACATATATATACCAATTTCTAAGCTGCATCTGGAAAGGAAAAAGAATAAGTAAAAAGAATTAAGATGTGTTATGTAAATCTACCAGCTCTTCACTATGAATATAATCATTATGCATGCAAACAAATATTTTTAATTTAATGTCAGGGAATTTCTTAAAAAGCTATATAATGAAAATCTGTTCTATTTTTAAAATGCATACACAACTAATACAGAGAAAAGTATATTATGTTACCTGCTCCAGGACTTCCTTATAGGTAATAGTTTCTTTAGTATTTGTAACAGGACTGTCATAGATGATAGCAATCTTATCCCCTCTACCATTTTCAATGTGACGATCAATGGCATTGTAACAAATGTTAAGCATCCCTTCCACAAACCTGAAAAATAATAGAAAAATGAAAGTAAATAATTATTTTTAAATATATTGCTGCTGAATCAGGTTGCTGTATTTCTAGTTGGCAGAACTGGTCCTAAGGCAGTGTTGTGTAGTAAATGTTATGCCAGGTAATGACTACATTTAGATGGCATGAAGTGGACATTTTTATTTTAATAAATACATATTTACTTTATGTGCACTAAAAAAAAATATACCTTGAACTTCAAACTGACTACTGTGTGGATTTTACTGCTTGGAATGAAACCAATGTATAGAGTAAGAAAGTAATCTAGGTTACATAGATGGATTGAATGATATCTAAGTGTGATGTAGAAGCATTAGAGATTATGAAATAGAAAATAGCAAATATAACACTAAAATTTTGGTACCTGCTGCAAATAGATAACTACTGGCAAATTCAGTTTTTAAAAGTATGGTTATGAATTTTTTTTCAATTAAATGTGTTATCTTCAACTGCATATAGAACAGATAAAACTTTTTTGTGCTGTCAAAACTGCTTCATATTGAATAAAGAATGGGCATGCACATAAAATGTTAATTTTTTAAAAATTACACGAATTTCACTTTTTTTTTTTTCCTTTTTATCGGTACCGGGGATCAAACTCACGACTGCCTGCTTGGAAGGCAGGTGCTTATGCCGCTGAGCTAAATCCCCAGCCCACGAATTTTACTTCTTAACTGATCAGTGCTTTTTTTCAAAATACAGATGTCCTATAAAAACATGACGATAGGTCGTTTTGGAAGAATAGTTCATTTTTCCAAAAGAAAAAAAATCTTGCATATGCTACTTTTTTAAGAAAAGATTTCAATATTCCACAATTTTGTACAGTAACAATCCATTTTTCTTACCACTGAACTACCAAATACAACAATACAAAGTAACAGAAAATACACAGAAGCAGGAAAAGTCCTATTAACCCTTCAATGCCCGACGACCCATTTTGGGCACATCCATAAAAACAGAACATAATGAAATGTGTTATGTTCAAATTCTCATTCCTTAAACTTTTCTAGTGTACTTCATACAAAAATTCAAAAATTTTAATCTTCCACATAAATAGATTAAGTTGTTGAGTATCACCTTTAAGTCTTCATGAGGAGCACTGAGAGATGCAAAACAGTACATTAAAACAAACCACAATCACAGTAGCAGCACAGCAAATAATTAATAAGGAGGCCACGTAAGGAGGGGTCATGGATGCACGTCAACAAATCCTACAAACTTCAACACCACCAGTGTGGTTATCTACAGCATAGCACAACACGTATTTGATAAAAAGATTCTGAATTTCATAGTGTGATTTTTTAAATACAGGTTCTCACTATGTAGTTCAGGTTGGCCTCAAACTCAGTCATCTTCCTGCCTCAGCCTTCCAAGTGTGCCACCACACCTGGCTTCCAAGTGTGACCTTTGTTCAGAACGTTATCTCATTACCTTCCCTGCTTCCATCAAAACTGTTTTGTATCTCTCCCTCCCCTGGCTCTAGGAGTGGGAAATATGAAGTTGATTTTTGATTCATCCAGGAATTTGCTTTAACTAATTCAATGTCAGTACACAATGCAGACAGAGGCTTGCAAAGCACTTGTATGGTTGGGTTTACTCTCCTGGAGCTCTATATTCCCCAAGACAGCACCCCAGATAAGGTGACTGCCTCTTACATGGCACCCAGAATGATCATTTATCAGAACCCAAACAAAGCAGGGAGCCCAGCCCAGCCTCAAGGTCTTGGAACAGCATGCCCAGCTATTCTCGTCTTTAATCCGCTGACCTCAAAGCAAAGTTCAAGTAGATAAAAATAACACTGTAGAGACCATGTCCTTGCTGGTTAGACAACACAACGGTAACCATAATTAGCTAATACTCAAGGACAAAAATTTCTTGTCTACTAGAAGTAAATTTATGTTTTATGGGATATCCTGCAGAATATGTTGCAAATGTATGGAGCATTTACTTGCTAGAAAATTCTCTCTCTCTCTCTCTCTCTCTCTCTCTCTCTCCCTCCCTCCCTCCCTCCACATTATTATCTCTGTTTGCATCTTCTCAATATCATCTGACAAATCTTCCTGTTCATTTTTAATTGCCTATGATCCCACCCATTTCATATGCACCCCTTAACTTTTGCTATATTCTCTCCCTAGACAACCTCTACTCTTTTATGGCTTTAGCTTCGATTTTTATCTCCAACACTTTTCCCCACTCCTAACTCCATACTGTTGTAACCTGCTAACCAGTTCCCTTCCTGCCTTGCTGTTCTGTAAAGCACTGACCCCTCCCCACCCTGAACTGCTCCATAAAAGATGGTAAAATTGTTTGTCCTGATGGAGACATCTGTTCCAAGAAATGATCTACCACAAAAAACTACAACCTTGTACTTTTGATAAAAACATGTTACATACGTGAAAAGTCCCCAGGTCAAGCTGTACCCAAAACTATGCTTGAGAGCTTTCCAAAGGACACCCGCCAGCACAAACACCCCTCCTCACTTTGCGGATTTTGCCTTCAAAATTTCAGACTCCTTTGGTAGGGTGCTCAGATTAGCAACTGCCTGACTGACATCGCTGGGTACCAGCTAAAATACAGCACTTCTCTTTTTCTATTTTGTCTGTCTTGTTGTTTTTGAGGGTTGCTAACAGAGGTTTAGGGCCAGGGGTCCACTCTTGGAGTCTGGGGGTGCCACATTTGGGGGCTCGTCCGGGATTACTCCAAGACCCCCTTTTCTCTCTTTTTGCCATCCCTATTTGGCTAACTCCCACGGGATTCCCTTACTGTTATAGGTTTTCGACAGCTGCTGCTTCTGACTGTGAGTATTCCTTATTTCACTCTGACTTCAATTGTGTGCACGAATTTGACTGAGTGGGATGCCCTCCATTTTGGGACCCTCGTGGTCCATTTGAATTTTGATTTGTACAGGACAATTGGTTTCTTAGTTTGACATAGACTGTTATCCTCTGTAAGAAAGATCTTATGTGGCCTTTTTGGTTTTACAGGCGACTGTCATCCTTTTGGCTATGCATTAAGTGATAACAGTTTCCTTCTAGGTCCCAGATGATCTGTCAACCTAGGAGATAATCTTACATCTTGTTGTCCTGTCTATTGTCTTTTGTCTCTTTTTGTGGGCTGTCCTCGTTTCTTTTGACCTTTTTCTTTCACAAGGAATCACAAAAGCCAAAAATAGGACAAAGTACATCCATTCCACTAACACCACTGAGTTTAGTCTTGGAACATTTTAAAGATTTTTAAAGGAGGGGCTTGGGGTTTAGCTCAGCGGCATAAGTGCCTGCCTTGCAAGTGTGGGGTCGTGAGTTTGATCCCCAGTATCGATAAAAAAGAAAAAGACAAAAAAAAAAAAAAAAAGAAAAAGATTTTAAAAGGAGAGCTGAGGGGTATGGGGAATCTGTTCACCCCAGGTACTTGAGAGTTTTGGTTTCTTTAGAATGGCCTCAAAGCGTTCCTAAGTGCCCCCCCCAATTGGGAGCTTTGACATGGATATAGAGCATACAGTCTGGATGTATATTTTTGGTCCCCTGGCCCATCCTGATCAATTTGTCTATATGTTAATATGGGTTGATTTGATCTATGACTCTCCACCTTGGATTAAACATTTTCTTAAAGTTTTTAATCAACAGCAGTCTCAAGATGCACCAGAGAAACCAAAACCTCAGGCGAGCCGTGCCCAGGCCTCCCCCCGAGAACCCAACTGCTCCCCGCGGTTCTGCAGGACGGGAACAATGATGAGGAGTTTCTTTCATCCCCCCCCCATATTGTCCTCCCCAGGATGATGAGGGGGTATGTTCACTGGAGCCCCCTATGGCCTCTCCCTGCCCGGCATCTCCTGACTCCTCCTCCACCCTGTGTCCCCTCGGGGAGGTCCCCAACCCCTTGACCTGGGAGCCTCCGTATTTGTCTATTCTTCTTTCTTTACTTCTGACCTTTATAATTGGAAAGGAAAAAATCCCCCATTTTCTAAGGACCCAGAAAATTTCATTAGCCCGCTAGAATCTATTTTCTCAACTCACCGCCCCACTTGGGATGATTGCCAAAGATTCTCAGGGTTCTTTTCACAGCTGAAGAGCCAACTCACATCTGCTCCCTGGGACACGGAAACCCCACGACTTACCCCCTGTGACAGGAACACTATTTCCCTCTTTCCCGCCCTGACTGGGACCCCAATTCCCACGAAGGTAAGGAGGCTTTAGCTCAGTATCACCAGCTGTTTCTGAGTGCACTTCCTGGAGCAGCCAAAAAACCTACAAACTTGTCCAAGGTGTCAGAGGTAAGGCAATTGGCTGATAAGATCCCTTCTATGTTCTTGGAGCACCTTCTAGAGGCCTACCGACTTTATACACCGATAGACCCGATGGCGCCTGAGAATGCAAGGGCTATTAATATCACCTTTGTCTCCCAGTCGGCCCCAGATATAAAGAGAAAATTGCAGATATAAAGAGAAAATTGTTACAAAGGTGTTGGACCTCCTTTGCAAAAAGATTGTTACACCAAATTCAAAGGATGAAAACTAACAAGGAGACAAGGAGTGCCCCCACTCAACAAGGAGCAATGAGCCTATTGTAAGGAGTTGGGGCACTGGCAGAAGGACTGCCCAAAGTTAAAGGCAAAACTAGAGTTCTTCACTGTCAGGACTTCCTTTGTTTTCTGCCAAAGGAAGCTATCCGTGTAAACCGAAAGGCAGAAGATTCTAAGAACATGGAGGATTTAGAGAGGATATTAGAGGAGTAATGAGTAAGTGCAAAAACGGTTATGTGAACGCGAAAACTCCGAGGGCCACTGAAGGTGGTACAGCTGGTGCATTGATGGTAACGAGCAAAGTGTATTGCTTAACAATGAGGTAAAAACATTCAATGTTGAGATATTAAGCTCACTCTAGAATTGTTTGATCTCCTGTTGTGTGTTATACTGTGGAGACAGAGCCAAAGAGGTAAGAGCCAAACCCAAGAGAGAGACCTCTGAACTGCAGTTACTAC